CTACTACATAATCATATAGTAGTCTGTCTCTACTACATAATCATATAGTAGTCTGTCTCTACTACATAATCATATAGTAGTCTGTCTCTACTACATAATCATATAGTAGTCTGTCTCTACTACATAATCATATAGTAGTCTGTCTCTACTACATAATCATATAGTAGTCTGTCTCTACTACATAATCATATAGTAGTCTGTCTCTACTACATAATCATATAGTAGTCTGTCTCTACTACATAATCATATAGTAGTCTGTCTCTACTACATAATCATATAGTAGTCTGTCTCTACTACATAATCATATAGTAGTCTGTCTCTACTACATAATCATATAGTAGTCTGTCTCTACTACATAATCATATAGTAGTCTGTCTCTACTACATAATCATATAGTAGTCTGTCTCTACTACATAATCATATAGTAGTCTGTCTCTACTACATAATCATATAGTAGTCTGTCTCTACTACATAATCATATAGTAGTCTGTCTCTACTACATAATCATATAGTAGTCTGTCTCTACTACATAATCATATAGTAGTCTGTCTCTACTACATAATCATATAGTAGTCTGTCTCTACTACATAATCATATAGTAGTCTGTCTCTACTACATAATCATATAGTAGTCTGTCTCTACTACATAATCATATAGTAGTCTGTCTCTACTACATAATCATATAGTAGTCTGTCTCTACTACATAATCATATAGTAGTCTGTCTCTACTACATAATCATATAGTAGTCTGTCTCTACTACATAATCATATAGTAGTCTGTCTCTACTACATAATCATATAGTAGTCTGTCTCTACTACATAATCATATAGTAGTCTGTCTCTACTACATAATCATATAGTAGTCTGTCTCTACTACATAATCATATAGTAGTCTGTCTCTACTACATAATCATATAGTAGTCTGTCTCTACTACATAATCATATAGTAGTCTGTCTCTACTACATAATCATATAGTAGTCTGTCTCTACTACATAATCATATAGTAGTCTGTCTCTACTACATAATCATATAGTAGTCTGTCTCTACTACATAATCATATAGTAGTCTGTCTCTACTACATAATCATATAGTAGTCTGTCTCTACTACATAATCATATAGTAGTCTGTCTCTACTACATAATCATATAGTAGTCTGTCTCTACTACATAATCATATAGTAGTCTGTCTCTACTACATAATCATATAGTAGTCTGTCTCTACTACATAATCATATAGTAGTCTGTCTCTACTACATAATCATATAGTAGTCTGTCTCTACTACATAATCATATAGTAGTCTGTCTCTACTACATAATCATATAGTAGTCTGTCTCTACTACATAATCATATAGTAGTCTGTCTCTACTACATAATCATATAGTAGTCTGTCTCTACTACATAATCATATAGTAGTCTGTCTCTACTACATAATCATATAGTAGTCTGTCTCTACTACATAATCATATAGTAGTCTGTCTCTACTACATAATCATATAGTAGTCTGTCTCTACTACATAATCATATAGTAGTCTGTCTCTACTACATAATCATATAGTAGTCTGTCTCTACTACATAATCATATAGTAGTCTGTCTCTACTACATAATCATATAGTAGTCTGTCTCTACTACATAATCATATAGTAGTCTGTCTCTACTACATAATCATATAGTAGTCTGTCTCTACTACATAATCATATAGTAGTCTGTCTCTACTACATAATCATATAGTAGTCTGTCTCTACTACATAATCATATAGTAGTCTGTCTCTACTACATAATCATATAGTAGTCTGTCTCTACTACATAATCATATAGTAGTCTGTCTCTACTACATAATCATATAGTAGTCTGTCTCTACTACATAATCATATAGTAGTCTGTCTCTACTACATAATCATATAGTAGTCTGTCTCTACTACCTAATCAAATAGTAGTCTGTCTCAACTAGCTAATCAAATAGTAGTCTGTCTCTACTACATAATCAAATAGTAGTCTTTCTCTACTACATAATCAAATAGTAGTCTGTCTCTACTACATAATCAAATAGTAGTCTTTCTCTACTACATAATCATATAGTAGTCTTTCTCTACTACATTATTAGTTTTAAAGTCAGTTACTGACCCTCTACAGAACCATAGAGGGTCAGTAAGATTTATAGGGGGCGAGGGCGGAGCCCGAGTGATGTAATGCATAACAAAACAACATGAATATTTAACAAATTTCGTCTAACCTCGCTGCGACATAGCCTTCAAAATCCACATCCTGATGTTTCTCCATGAGATAATCCTTAAAACACTTCACACACGTCTTGTTGGCCTTTTGCGTTTCGGCAGACTGACTGTTTAGTCGCTTCTTGTCTATTTCTTCCGTTGTCGTCTGCCCAAATCTTTCCATGTTGTTGTTGTGCTGTTGTCTCTCAATGTCACCGAAACGCTTAGATAAGGGGACGGCACCCACGCTAAAACAAAAGACGGTCGCTTGCGACAGCGTCTTACTAATTTTGCCTGGCGTAGGGGAAGCAACTCCTATCATTTTACGATACAATGTAGCGAATGGGAATTACGGTGAGCATTGTATCATTTTCAGAATATTCAGGTACCCGGTATCTGTTGTTTTAGTTTTGAAGCGGTGAGCAGTGGGCGGCCATATTGCCCTATAATGGAATCCTACTGACCCTATATAGAAAATTAGAGGGTCACCACGTGACAGCTCTAAACCAATGGATTTTGGACATTTTTGTCCGAGGTGCGATAAAATCAAATAGTAGTGTGTCTATACTACATAATCAAATAGTAGTCTGTCTCTACTACATAACCATACAGTAATAGAATCTATCGCTACTGGTTGTGTAAGATAGAGAAATCTCAACCCGAGGACTTAGATTTTTTGTCCAGAACGAGGCTTGCCGAGTTCTGGACAAAAAATCTTAGTCCGAGGGTTGAGATTTCTCTATCTAAAAAAACCAGTAGCGATTGATTATTTTTCTCCCATATCTAACAGTATTTTAATGTGAAATAAAGGTAAACATGGACCCAAAACACATACAGGCAATTTGTTAATGGATTGTTGACGTGACGTCATTGTATTGTTGAAGTGACGTCATGCCATTGTTGGAAAAGGGGAATCCCCCCTGTCTCAACCCTAGGGCGGAGACAGATAAATCTAGCACCGGCAAAACGGGAGATAAATCTGTTAGTTGTAGGAGAATAGTCTGTCTCTACTACATAATCAAATAGTAGTCTGTCTCTACTACCTGATCAAATAGTAGTCTGTCTCTACTACATAATCATATAGTAGGCTGTCTCTACTACATAATCAAATAGTAGTCTGTCTCTCCTACCTGATCAAATAGTAGTCTGTCTCTACTACATAATCATATAGTAGGCTGTCTCTACTACATAATCAAATAGTAGTCTTTCTCTACTACCCAATCAAATAGTAGTCTGTCTCTACTACCTGATAAAATAGTAGTCTGTCTCTACTACATAATCAAATAGGAGTCTTTCTCTACTACCTAATCAAATAGTAGTCTGTCTCTACTACATAATCATATAGTACCATATCTTCAGCCCTACCGAAAACCCACACACCCCTAGTGTCCTCTATGTATGCGGGTTGGTACTCTCAGTTCCGGTTTATTGGCAAATTTACATTCTAAACAAATAATACAAAAATGATACCATTTCCCTCTATCTGCTTAGCCATTCCAGGTAAACAAATCGTTATTCAAGCCTTACATGATTCTATATCTGATGAGTTTGTCTCGCAAATCTGTATATATATATACAATGTACAGTATTTTGATATCGGCTTTACGTTTTGATCTAATTATGAAGAACTTTGTTGTTTATTCCCTATTAGTCATCTTGATAATAATCAGAATGCGGTTCTGATAACATAACAAGCCAATACGGTATCTATTCATAAACTAGTCGATACATTTATCATGATAACTTTGTCAATTTGGAGCTGACAACTGACAACTACAAAACCAACCCCCTGATATTTGATCTGAGCCTGTTTTGACAGTAGGTATGTGGTACTGTGATCGTTGACGATTGCCATGCTATAACTTGGCGATATATGTTTAACATGAATTTATGCAAAACACGGAAAATATTGGCAATCCAAGAGGTTTCCCTGTATATATTTCTTCATGTTCGAGATTGTAAGGTTGTGCAGTGTTTATGCATAGACAAAACATGGTTGGTTCAAGTACTCGGTCAGTAGTGGTGAGTAAGGACACGAATGGCTCCAGCTTCAAAACTAATGATACTATAAACAAACCCTCCTGTCAATGAATATCCACAAATTGTGTGTATAGAAAGGTTGCAGATAAACCCAAATGTACATTTGGAAGATAATTAAACCGCTAGCTAAAGACAAGTGGTTAAGGTATATACAAACCGTTAGTAGTTACAGACAGGTATTTAATACAGACGGGTGGAAAACGTAGACAGGTAGTATTACAGAAATGTATGCATGTGTATGGGTTAACTGTAGGATATATGTAACTATTGTGAAGGCAGGTTTGACTTGTTGTACATAGATATCGGCGGTACATGTATACGTGTGTTCTCTTAGACATGTTAGGCTGTAGTTATAGACAGATGATACACATAGACAGGTGGTGTGTAACACAGGTGTGGCTGTCGTTATGAACAGGTATTACTTTTGACCAGTTAAAACTCTGTAGGTCCAACGGTGTGATGCGTATTTTACTATTTTTAGAGCAATATTGTAATATAAACGGAAGTCGTTAGAATTAAGTTTGACTGTATTCAATAATAAAAATCCTTGCTGCGCGAATTGTTAAAATTATCCATTTTCATGTTTGTTAAGGCGTATTACTGAGAGCCCCATTTAAATACCTGGTGAAACTATTTCCGTACGGGGTAATCTGTACCTGTATGATTTACAAGACCCGATATGGGGCAATAAACTTGACTACTTGAAACAAGAAAATTTACATAAGCTTAAGATATATTGAATCTTTGAAAGGGCAACATCATTTATTTGACTGCTTTTATATTCTACTTTCTGGGAGGGGACGACACCCTACACAGCCATGGTTCTCCTCATGTTGATGTCCTTGTTGTTGGTCTTACCTCCAAGTACAGGTAAAGTAGTCATTATTCTCAATCATATTTATTTAGATTGTGTTAATTTAATCACATGGTATTTCGGTACATTAAAGTATGTGTTTTTATATCTTGAATCAAATGTGTTCTCTTAGACCAAAAAATAACATTAATATTTCTTTGTTTAAAAACAGAGTGCCTGACATGTTATCAGTGTGCCGATACACAGATGGACGGACCATGTCAGAGGAACACAGCCGACCTTGTTAAATCAAACCAGATCTGGAAACAAAACAACGAGACCCTTAAGAACGACTCTTACCTAGAATACATCAAGACCTGTCCTCCAGAACAAAACTATTGCGTTATCGAACGTATTGAAGACAAAAGTGAGTATTTATGTATATATAATATACGGTCTTAAACAGTTTCCTATTCATTTGAATAATTTAAATAGGAGTCACCAAATAGCGACAATACACACTTTCACAGTATCGCTTACAGAAAGTAACTGATAAAACTTACTAACGCTTATTTCTATTTAAACTGCCGAGATACAGCATGCACGGTGTCTCGCTGTAGTTCAATTCTGGTTTTATTGGATCCTGTAATGTCTGATATATACTATGAAATAAATTAGTAATACGCAAAAAGGAGTTAATATGAATGCAAGTATAGCGTTGTTTTTGGTAAGTGACTCGTGTTCCGTGACAACAACAGAAATTGCTTGAAGTGCTTCAATCGCCCGAGTCAATGTTCTCGACAGCGTTCGTCCAACAGCGTTTATCCTGACTTTTCCCTTAATCTCTGTGTCATCTCAGTCTATTTGTTCTTTTCACACAGACGATTATGTCCTGGCACTTTCATAGGCTTTAATACAATTGCGCCTCAGTCACATTTGAATAATAGCTGTACCTTGAGGTATATTACATCTGGGCGCAGTGTACTGGGTGAGAGGATAATTAAGAGATGAATCGAAACAGCTTCACTCTTCAGTTTTTCATTTTTATTTCCGGAAACAGAAAGTAAATAATAAATATAGAAACAAGATACGGAGACGGAATATGATGATACATAAAACGGTCAATTCCGGATATTCTACTGATGGTTATAAAATAATATATACCATTGTATATAAGAGCAGAGTAATATTATCTCACCAGTACAGACAGTAAGCTACATTATAACCAGACCTAGAACAATATTAACACACAACCTAATGGTTGTTTCACAGGCTAGATGACAGTCGAGTCTACAGCAATATTAGCTCACTTACATAATGGCGGTATCAATATCTTGCCGTCGGGTATGGAGTATTGAGAACTCACTTAAATAATTGTCCTTAACCATGCTACAGATTCACGGGCCTATAACAATGCTTTTACGTTATTGAATAATATGTTACATTGCAAAATCATAATCAAATCACGAAACTTACATAACTGCATTTCCTTGAGCTGAAAATGTAGTCTATCGACTTTCAAGTTCATATGGGTTCAGGAGAATTTGTAAATGACACTATTGATACGGAATATATGAAAACATAGTGCTGTGAACTTTTTATTTCTTTTTCAAACAGAAGATTTGATGTAAACACATAGATATTTCATTTAACAGCATACTTTTTCCTTCAGGTGTGATGTTTGCTTACATCCGGGAATGCAGCGACGGTGTGAGAATATCGATTAATAACGTGGATCGATTTCAAAACATGACCTTCAATAAAAACAATTTCACAACGTGTGCTTTCAAATGGCAAGTTGGTATCGTATGTATAACTCTATGTGAAGGAAACCTGTGTAATGGTCCGATTGTTGCTGATGTTGGTAATGGTCAGCCGGTCATTTCTTCGTTACTGTTAATCACAGCGTTGTGTTGGAGTTTTTTTTGTTCTAAATGATTGCATAACAAATATCACATACAGCTTACATTCTATCCATTGAAATGCTATTTTATATTACTGTATTTCTAGTTTCCAAAAAAGTTTTCTGTCAATGTTTAATACGCGTTAAGATCAAAACAATAATTATTATTAAGGAATATGTTATACTGTATATTGGCAATACACTACAAACTCACGATACCTGTGAAGTACTTCCTGTTCGACTTGTCTACGGCATTACCGCTGATACGCAGTTAGTTAGTTGTAAATCTTGACCAAAATGACGTCTATAAAACTGATATGATTGTTTAAATTTATCGCTATCATTTGCTGACAAAGCATGTCTTCTCTTATTTGGCAGCTTGAACAAAACCAATATTTTATTTGTTACAGATATTTTTATTGCTTAGAGGTTTTAGTATTAGTACATCTTAACACAGATTACAAACCAGGTAACCAGACATGTTGATCGTCTTCTCGTAAGTCAAAGTGGGTATCCCTGTGATCGGATAAAAATAAAATAGATTAATTAAGCTATAGAGACTATCAGGATAGATACGTTTTTAAACTCTATTATGGTGAATAAAATAAAAATAACTGTATACAAAACAAATAATTAAAAGGTTTACTTCTGGATTCTAGTTTTTGTTGTTGTTTTTCGAGTGAAGTGTATGTTGTTTATTATAAACAGAACAATTTTGTGCGATAGAGCATATATCATATAAAGGACAACTTTTCATAATCATTTGTTCAAAGAGAGACAATTTATAAGAAAAAATATTTATGAAACTAGTTTTAATAGATATGATATGCAGTATATTGCATTGATTTTGCAGAAATGATAGCTTTTTTGGTCACCTGAGCTTTAGCTCAAGTGACCTATTGCTATCCGTCTTCGTCCGTTGTCGTCCATCGTCCGTCATCCGTTAACATTTTACATTTTTAACCTAAGCTGAATTACTGGTAAAGGGGTTTTATTAATATTTCATGGGAAGGTTACTGACATCTTCCTGACCAAGTGTTGTTATTTTTCGGGTCGATCAGAAATTCAATACAGCCGACACGGCCGCCATTTTGAAAAACTATTTCAAACTTAAAGTAAAATTCTGCTGGGCCGATTAAACTGACACTTGGTAGGAATGATCAACTCATGGTCCTGACAAAGTGTTGTTATTTTTCGAGTCAATCAGATCTCCAATATGGCCGCCATGGCCGCCATTTTGAAAAACTATTTCAAACTTAAAGTCAAATTCTGTTGGGCCGATTGAACTGAAAGTTGGTAGGAATGATCCACTTATTGTCCTGACAAAGTGTTGTTATTTTTCGGGTCGATCAGAAATCCAATATGGCCGCTACGGCCGCCATTTTGAAAAACTATTTCAAACTTAAAGTCAAATTGTGCGGGGCCGATTGAACTGAAAGCTGGTAGGAATGATCCACTTTTTCACCTGACAAAGTGTTGTTATTTTTCGGGTCGATCAGAAATCCAATAGGGCCGCTACGGCCGCCATTTTGAAAATAACTATTTCAAACTTAAAAACAAGTTCTAATAGGCCGATCTAACTGAAACTCGGTCTAGGAATGATCAGCTCATGGTCCTGACAAACTTAGGTTAACGTTATACTTACCTTTTTTACTCAAATTGGTACATATTTCAACAACAACAACAAAAAACTGTAGGACTCAGGTGACCGTTAAGGTCCATGTGCCTCTTGTTTCTTTTGCATTAACACATTTTTTATAACATGCTGAACAAAACGATACATATATGAGTGTTTAAAAACTATTTTCCTGGCTAAATAATAACCGTTCAGTTGGGGAATACCAGGATATGGTTTGTATTAACCCTTACAGTAAAGTCCAGTGAATTTGTTCAGGAAGTTTCCTATGAATAGTACAAATATAGTATATTTAGTATATATAGCGGGAAGACAAATGTCGATTCAATTAGTTTTTGGATTTACATATACGATATTTATCGTCCTCAAAGATAATGTTTTAAGTATTTGCTGTAAAATATAGTTGAAATAATTCAAGATCTTTGTTTTATTTTGTATTTTATTGCTCCTCGAAACGAACAACAATAACTTTATGACCTTTATACATAAGAATAACAATATATACTGAAATACATATACAGTATCTATAATATTTTCAAATGTTGATAAAAATGAGGAAGTTAGGCTGTGTTTACGCTGTACTAGAGTACGTTGAAAGTAATAGTTACAGGTTAGATGTTTGTTTAATGATATCAGACAAAGATAAAGTTTAAATCAATAATATCGACCACTTACATGAATAAGTGTGCACCCTGGGTAGTGCAGTATGTTGAACGAGTTTTGTAAAATAACACGATTAAGATGTCGACTGGAAAGGAGTGTTGTAACCGACATTTTATAGCGCTTACCCTTCTGGTGTTTATAGGATACTTTGGAAGCGGAGGTAAGTATTTATATAATGTAGGACTACAAACTTATGGTTAATCTATCTCGTAATAATTAAGCCATCGATTTGAAAAACAAATCATAATTATGTATTTTATCTACTTTTTCCAAATGGGATCATTATGACGTCAGCATAGAATGAAAAACTCCACAACACAATTTACCTATGTTTGCTAAATAAACGCAAGTATAATACACAAAAACAACTTTGTACTACGTTATATCATACGTGGATGTTGAGTATAGGTAAACAAGAACAACACATTCATTTTTATTGACTGGAGCCGGAAGCAATACAGAAATAAGAACAATTTAATATGATCAAGACAATATCAGATATAGAAACAAAATCTGGTGATAATTGTAAAATACAATAAATATTTGACGTTTGAATATTATTTTACAATGGACAAAGAGTAAATATTATTCAATTATATATAGCCTTTGGCTATACCTGGATTTATCGACCCGAGAAAAGATATATTGACAGAGGCCGCAGTCCGAGGTCAATATATCTTTTCTCGGGTCGATAAATCCAGGTATCGACCGAAGTCAAAGGCTACAATTTGTTTTATTATTTTCAAAACAGTAATGTTAGCAATCTGAAAAAAAAATCACCTCAAAAATCTACGGAAGCTGGACGATGCGTTTGTTTGGAGTCGCGTCATAATTCTATTTTTAGAAACACCCAGTCCTTCAACAAAAATCACGCGCTCCAAGTCATTATCGGTTTTTATTGGTGGACACGTGACGCATTCCTTGCCAATCAGTTGTCGGGAATAATATGGAAAAATAATAATAATTAGTATATACAACCACAATATGTATGTGCTCTGTTGTATCTTAAACATCGTAATTTCTAGTGTAATGCTTTATGGATTGACTTAGCAGTGAATGATGACCCTAGATCTGTGTGGGTTGGGTGACACTGCCAACCCTTTGTTATTACATGATAACAAGTTGATCACTTTATTATGGATAGCATTTGTGATTTAAAACCTCACATGATATATCATGTATGTATGTCAGATTCGTATCTACCATACAAGTGTAACCTGGTACAAACTGCTACAGTTGGGAGCAAACTTAACTTGGTATCTAGTGCACTTCATAGTGCACACGTAGTGAACAAGGAAGTGCACTAGACAAAACATACCAAGTATGTTTATAAGTACACTTTATCAAGTTCACTTCAGTGTGAACTCCAGTTCACTTCAATGTTAACTCCAGTGCACTACGATGTTAACCCCAGTGCACTACGATGTTAACTCCAGGGCACTACGATGTTATCTCCAGTGCACTACGGTGTTAACTCCAGTGTACTACGATGTTAACTCCGGTGCACTTCAATGTTAACCCCAGAGCACTACGATGTTAACTCCAGTGCACTACGATGTTAACTCCAGTGCACTACGATGTTAACTCCAGTTCACTTCAATGTTAACCCCAGTGCACTACGATGTTAACCCCAGTGCACTACGATGTTAACTCCACAGCACTACGATGATAACTCCAGTTCACTTCAGTGTTAACTCCAGAGCACTACGATGTTAAATCCAGTGCACTACGATGTTAAATCCAGTGCACTACGAGGTTAACTCCAGTGCAATACGATGTTAACTCCAGATCACTTCAATGTTAACCCCAGTGCCCTACGATGTTAACTCCAGGTCACTTCAATGTTAACCCCAGTGCAATACGATGTTAACTCCAGAGCACTACGATGTTAACTCCAGTTCACTTCAGTGTTAACTCCAGTGCACTACGATGTTAACTCCAGTTCACTTCAATGTTAACTCCAGTGCACTACGATGTTAACCCCAGTGCACTACAGTGTTTACCAAAGTTTAAAAGACTGAAGTACATACATTGTATTTCAAAAATTGTTTATAATGAAATGGGTTCCTTTGTGATATGAAAATTGAAAGAGAAAAGAAAGAATCATTCATCTGAATATTTCATACTACCAGTAATATCATATTTCAGTATCTGTTATGTGATATGTAAAATGTTGTAAGTTTTCCTATAATTTTATACATTTCATGAAATGTTTTCTATAACACGACATCAATAGAGTAATTCGCTTCTTTGTTTTATATAAACAAGTCAAGAAAAGAAAAAATCAGAAACATCCTATGTCATGACATGACACTATATAGATAAAAGGTTAAGCTCAACCTAAAGATGTGTAATTTAATAAAGTTCGTTAAACCCAAGTTGTCTTAAGAAAATACTGCCAATACTACTTATATACAGACTATAATCCTACTAACAACATTCGTCTCCCTATATTATTTTAAAAAGTGGAGGAACTGAGAAAACGCCGTTCTGATCAGGAGGTAAATATAATTTGACCTCAGACCCTATACATTGTGTTATACACACACCCTCGCGATCGGGGCATTTCAACTCCAGTTTCTCCTGTGCTAGCTACAGGGTTCAGACAGGTTAAACTTACCTGTAGAAAAGTAAATGATGATACCTCCATATTTAATTGTTTTTAAAGAAATGTTTTGTTGGAATTCATATCTTCATTCCTGTAACAACAGTACATCGTTACCCATCATAAATGAGACAATACATATATCTATAGTATTTTTTTCTGATTTACTGTCATAGTTACTACATTTACATCTACATGCTTGCAATTTTTTTTCAAAATGAATATACAGAAAACGATTTACTATCATGTACTAATAATATAATGATATACCTGTATATTTAATGTAGACGTAATACTAGTACTGCTATAACTATAAAGGTGATTTTGTCTTTAAGACAAAGTATTATTACATGTGTGTGCATAAAGTACAACATTTACTTACTCTGTATATATGACCTTTTACAACCTTCTTCAACGTTTTAACCCGGGTTAACTAAATAATTGGTAATATCGTGTACATACTCGGTGTTTTATGGACAAATGTATTATGTATACCTCCGCTTCCACGAGGTCGGGGCTATGTTCTAGATAATTGGCGTTGTCTGTCCATTCTTACCGACTGTGGTTTTCAGAGCATATCTCAGCCGAGTAGTTACAACGTGTGTGTGGATGGGGGTGCACATCGGCATCACACTTTGTGTATAGGTGCATCATGGGAAGCCGGTGTATTATATCTTATCATTAGATCAGTATGTCCTCAGTTTGATCTTTGACCTTGATCCCAAATACTGATAAAATGAAATGCCTTATTATAGATGAAAAATGTGTGTAATTTATACTTTTAATACTTTATTCAGCATTAATACATGAACATATTATGTATGGTATATCATGATATGACAATAGAAAACAATAAGTTTGCGTCAGTTGTGACTGTTTAAGTAATCAGGATATCATATTCACCCAATGGCCTATCACCTCTGGAAATCATTGTTCTGTCAATGCGAAGATCTTCAATTTTTCAGATGGTAATCAGTACATCATACACTTAATGAAATCGCATTAAATCATTTTGTTCCAGCTACTTTCAGCTTCGTTCAGAATAAATTCGGCTATTACAACTGGACTAACAATGGTTTCCAACGTATATCTCAGGCGTTGTGTCATGAATTGGGACCAAAGTTTGTCTATATGTACACCATTGTAAAGTTGTGTGTTGCATCCTTAAATGGTGTCCCTGTGGTCTGAATTGAACCTTTTACCTTAATTTCAAATACTGAAATAACGATGTCTAGAACATATTTCAGCCACTGTTACATAAATTGCCATCGAAAATTGTATATAGATACTGCACATGGTAAACGAGGTGACCTTTGACGTTAACCTCAGTGTTTGGTTAAAATGTATCGAGTAGGAAGTATTAATAAACGTAAGAGAAAAGGAGACATAACAACGGTGGTGGTATGCAATGACAAGGGAAGTAATCAATTAAATTATTCGTGGTTAACTCTGTGCTATAAATTACTTCTTGCGTTTGAGGCAGATTTTTTATATAGGCTTCTTACGTCAATGCTAATTGATTGATTTTCTGATAAGCTGCAGTAATCAGTTTCTGTGGATGGCATACTGATCTTCAAGATATTGATTTAATATCCTCCTGATGTCAAATATGGCATTTTCATGTATCCTTGTTAGAACATATGTATATATTTATGTTTTAAATACAGAGTGTCTGCTGTGCTACCAGTGCAGCGACTCAGTGAATGATGGCAAATGTCGAACTGACATTGAAGGAATGGAAAAAGAATTCATCGAAGAAATGTACCTGTCCAACATCTCATCCGTATTGCATTTAAACACGTCGCACTACACATACCTACAACTGTGTGATGAGGAGTATTGCACTGTGCAGGAGATCACTCAAAGCGGTAAGACCCTTGCATGTATAACGCCGATACTGTATCATATGTTTAAATTTACAACGATACCAATCCCTATGTTTTTTTCTTTATTTTGAAGTGTTATTGTGTTGTTAAAAAGTTTAAAACTCAGATTATCTTTTCTTTTTTTCCCTTTACAATATAATTTTTGAAGAACAGTCTTAAATTGTTGTCATAACAGTTAAAAAAACTATTCCATATTTATGTCATCACGTAGATTGACTGTATTCTTATTTAATAATATTCAACCAGAAACACACAATATCGAAAGTCATGACTCAAGAAACAATATTGAAATCGATGATTTTGGAAGTTAACTTTCCCTTTCTTGTTTGAAACATCCTTGATTTCACTTCACATGTTTAAAAAGACTTTTCAATAGTGTACATGCAACTTCGTTACCACTACCCAGGTCCCACTTTGTAAATGTAACAATGATGAAACATAATGCAGATGACGTCTGGGCCTTTATTTCTTGTAGTTTTCCAAGGGATCTCCAGATAAATGATATATATTATGTCCATATTCTACCCCAGTTTCATCGGTTTTCAGATAGTTTTGTTTACATTTCGCCATTTACGATATTCTGTTCACAATGGTATCATTACATACAATCCATTGTGTATGTATAAAATGTCAATCCCTGTATTATGATAAGGACACATTGATACTAACAAGAAACAAATACTATGAGTGGAGTATTGTATTTGTTTATTAAAGCACTACTGTAAATACATGTTGAAATAGACTAACTTTCTATTTTCCGTGTTCAGCTATTGAACAAATATTATTAAAAATGTCTTTGAAAACTCCTAATTGTTCTGTGGTTTTTATTTGCATATTTTTGTCTATATTTGTTCAACAAACCTGCAAATCGCCAACGATTAATACATTTCACTGTCTAGCAGTAGTTTAATACATCTTTATTTTAGGTAAAACAGTCGGCTTTATCAGGGGATGCAGTGATAAATCCCGTCCAAGTGCCGGATACACGATTGCGAATATCCAAGCCAACAACAGATCTGTGTGTGGTATTTCAATGACTGGAAATGGCATGCTAGTGTGTGGAACCTTCTGCCAAACAGACCTTTGCAACGGCCCACAAGCGGACCGCCCTGTCAACAACGGAAATGCCCTATTCAATGGGTTGGTGTCCATGGAAAAAACAGTACTGATGGTTGCATTGACATTTGTCTTGTCAAGCAAAAACTACATTTGACAGCTAAAGTCCCACGGTTTCACTCAATCGTAAACTTTTCAGCAAACGTAGTTTTCTATTTATAAGTACTGATCTGTCAATCAATATAATTTATATCTGCAAATGTACTTGATAACGGAAGAAAATCGGTGAATGAGTAGAAATATAACCACTGGAAATCTGTATTTTATATGAATTTACTTAATATTTTTAGTTGGCGTACATGTATGTATGCTTTAAGGAACCGATTGTACAAGTTAAGATAATACGTATACATTTGTTAATTTTTCATTCGATTTGTTTTTGTTGTTTATTAATTTATTCATTATTGATTCAAATTTAATGTAAATACATAGCGTAATATTTTGCTATCATTTGTATTTTATTTGTTTTTCGTAAGTCTAAACTGTGGGGAAACACTTGTTAAAAAAATGTTCAATACTATGTAAAAAATGAAAATAAGATGTCGCATATAAATATGTTACTCAATCAAGAACTTAAACACACAGCAAACGTCTCTTCTCCTTCTTCTTCTTCTTCTTCTTCTTTTTCTTCTTCTTTTAAATTCATTAGCATTAATGTACATCGTTTTTTTTAAAACAACTTTTTTAAAGTTAAAATTTATCGATGATTACCTTTATTCAATTCCTAACACTTCATTATACCCCTTTTCCTTCAAATAATAAGGATATTAAGTATGTGTATTTACTTCTTAGGTGACGCCAATGAAGCAGAAGACGCCGGTCATTGGGTCTTATTCCCTTCGTACTTTTCAATGAACTCAATGTAAATCTCCTTTTGGATTTAATTTTGCTCAATCAATGTCCACTTTGAGACTGAATTACGAATGCATTAGTATTCTATTTTTGCATTGGTATTCTATTTTGTATATAAACTCATAATTCAAAAATTAAATTGTAGAAAAAGAGTTGTTTCCATAGTACATGTATGCTTGTGGAGTAAAGTCATCATAAGGCATACATTTCATATCTCATATATTATTGCTGAATATGTCATCCTCACTGCAATTGTTTGGCCCTTCTTATTTACTGGTAATATTTACTTCTCAGCTACACACATAGAAATTTACCTCTTTAACTCCAGATATGAATATTCATGTTATGGAAGGTCAAGGTCACGCTGGACCTAGGTAGTCCTTTTTCTGGATCTCCGACAAAATAGTGTTTTTTCTCATATATTATTAGACGTTTCGTAGTTTATTTTCTGGATTACATACTACATAAGTTGATAGCTTTTCCCTTATCAGTATCTGTTTCTTGGAATTTTCGGACAATGGCATGATACACTCCCTAGTGACTACTACTTACAGCACACTATACTATAGCTATAGATGGAGTTGTATATGTTGACTATAGCTGTGAACGTTATATAGGCAATATTCAGTGGAAACTATTGCCAGCAGAAAGCATAGTATGGGAGGAGAAGCCGGGGTTAAGACCAGTGGAGCGGATAAGAATATTGAGGACAGACTCGATGAGATTTCATCCTTGTTAACTACACTCATGACATAGGAAGACATTGATTCCAAGATGAAGAAGTTAAAAGAAACCATATGAGCGGAAAATAGAGAACTGGTTGAAGAACTCAAAGGGAGAGTGTTCGAACTGGAACTGGAAAATAATACCCTGGGCCTTTTGGTTATTAAGAAGAAGTTGTTTGAAGATTTTAAGACATTTGACCCCTGTGACCTTCAAAGTTGGTCAAGGTCATTCATTTGAACAAACTTGGTAGCCCTTCGTTACAGCATGCTACTGGCCAAATAGCATCATCCTAGGGTTTTCGGTTATCGAGAAGAAGTTTTTTAAAGGTTTTTAACATATTTGACCACTGTGACCTTGAATATATATAAAAGTCATTCATTTGAACAAACATGGTAGCCCTTCATCCTAGCATGTTATTGGCCAAATATCATTATCGTAGGTCTCTTTGTTATTCAGAAGAAGTTGTTTAAAGACTTTTTAAGACAATTGACCCCGGTGACCTTGAAAATGGATGAAGGCCGTTCATTTCAACAAATTTGGAAGCCCTTTATCACAGCGTGCTACAGGCCCAATATCAGTACCATGGGTATTTTGGTTTCTGAGAAGAAGTTGTTTGAAGATTTTAATACATTTGACCCCTGTGACCTTCAAAGTTGGTCAAGGTTATTCATTTGAACAAACTTTGTAGCCCTTCATCACAGCATGCTACTGGCCAAATAGCATCATCCTAGGGTTTTCGGTTATCGAGAAGAAGTTGTTTAAAGGTTTTTTAAGACAATTGACCACTGTGACCTTGAAAATTAATAAGGGCCATTCATTTGAACAAACTTGGTAGCCCTTTATCTAAGCATGCTACTGGCAAAATATCATTATCCTAAGCCTCTCAGTTATTGAGAAGAAGTTGTTTAAAGATTTTTTTAAGACAATTGACCCCTGTGACTTTGAAAATAGATGAAGGTCATTTATTTGAACAAACTTGGTAGCCTTTTATTCCAGCATGCTACTGGCCAAATATCATCATCATATGCCTTTTGGTTATTGAGAAGAAGTGGTTTAAAGATTTTTTAAGACAATTAACCCCTGTGACCTTGAAAATAGGTTAAGGTCATACATTTGAACAAATTTGGTAGCCCTTTATCCCAGCATGCCACTGGCCAAATATCGTCATCCTGCGACTTTTGGTTATTCAGAAGAAGTTGTTTAAAGTTTTTTAACATATTTGACCCCGGTGACCTTGAAAATAGGTGAAGTATATTGATTTAAACAAACTTGGTGTCCTCCATCCCAGTTTGCTTCTGGCCAAATATCATCATCATAGGCCTTTTGGTTATTGAGAAGAAGTGGTTTAAAGGTTTTTAAGACAATTGACCCCTGTGACCTTGAAACACTATGAAGGTCATTCATTTTAACAAACTTGGTAGCCCTTCATCACAGTTTGCTTCTGGCTAAATATCGTTATCATAGGCCCTTTGGTTATTGAGAAGAAGTTGTTTGAAGTAAAATATTGACGCCGGACGACGGACGGACGGAAGACGGACGCCGCACCATGGCATAAGCTCACTTGGCCCTTCGGGCCAGGTGAGCTAAAAACGAGAAACGTTTTCGTCAAGTTTACGCATCGAAAAAAAAGGAAAAGTGGTCATCAAAGCCCGCTCAAAACTGAAGAAGACTGGATATATGGTTTTCGAGGATCTCGCGAAGTTCAACCAGCAGTATAAACTTCAGTGTGTAAAGAACTCATACAGTACGAACGGTAAGCTTTTCGCTATACTGAATGATGGTAGGAAGAGAAGGCTCCAGTTTGGCAAACCACTCACAGACAGAGTTCTTATGGAAGATTCCAACTTTGTGGAAATATGTATATTTAGTGCTTAGTGATCGGTAATGGACTAGGCACGATGGTGCCGCCAGGAATTACCCTGGTTTTACCGATATCACGAGTGTTTGGATAATGCGTGTAAACAGTCAGTTATTTTGATATGTATACTTATAATACAGTCAGTTATTTGATATGTATGCTTATATGTATACTTATAATACAGTCAGTTATTTGATATGTATGCTTATACGTATACTGATAATACAGTCAGTTATTTGATATGTATACTTAAAATAAGTCAATTATTTGATATGTATACTTATATGTATACTTATAATACAGTCAGTTATTTGATATGTATGCTTATACGTATACTGATAATACAGTCAGTTATTTGATATGTATACTTAAAAT